CCCCCCCCCCCCCCGGAAAAGCACAGGAAAACTGAAAAAATTCAAAAACCAAGAAACCACCTGCACCAAGAGACCTGAAAACAATTTCGTCAGAAGTAAAAAAACCCCCAAAAACACAACTCTTGTTGTCGATGAAAATAATATTGAGGTCTTGGCTTTTACGGTTTTTAAAAACCCTACCTCATCAAAAAGCTGAGGGTGTCCCACTGTCTTCAGTCATCACTTTTTGACGTCTATACCACTGTCAGAGGCCACCAGAGCCCAGACTCCAAGGGCCCAGGTGATGGCGTGTTAGATATGAAAGATTGATATGCAGATAAAGGTCAAGAGTTCTCGTAGATTCATACCTGCTAATGAATAGTTCGACACAATATCTGCATTATGTACAATGCCTGTGTTTTATATCACTGCTTCAAAAGAAAGAAATTGAAGACTAGAACATGCTCTTACTTACTGGTATTTCGTCAAATTGTATACTAGGTAGAACCATTGCATATACTTTGAATCTAGTAGAAACGTTCAGTATTAGCCACAATGGTGAGAAAATTAGGCTCCATCCGCAGCTCCAGGACGATGTTGTCATCATCATCCCCTACATCTGCGAGGAGGACACATTCTTCTCCATTAAATTCACAGGTATATTCACATTTTCCGAGTTCTTTTGGGCGAGCTTGTCTACTCCACCACGGCGTTTGTAGCACAGTCGTCGTCATGCGTTCAAACGCGTTTCAGCAGTGAGAACATGGAATGCTGAACTCTTTAACCCTATTTGAACCTGAATAGTTCAGTGAATAGAATTAAAGAGCTAATATGCGCTGATAATCGACGCAATCTTATGTTGCAGCACCCGATAATTGCCTTGTTGAAGTGACCAGTGGCCTCAAAGTGACAATTGACGAACTCTGTTCCGTACGTACTTTGTAATGGATATGGCTTGCCATGGGTGCCGACGCAATGCCACCATATACTTGGTAATCTTTTCTTTCAATTCCACAACAGGTGCAGTCCAATGACTACGCCTCATCAGGTGATATAAAAAAAGTCTTTTCGAAACCGAGGAGTTTTGTATCGGCTTCCGCTATGGTGGATCAAGTGCGTGTACCCGAATCTGCAAGGGGTGCAGCTGTAAATATTGGGCGAGGTATGTTCACCCTAAAATGCTTGATAGATACAAGCGAATGCAATATTTCAAAGTCAGGTAGTTGGGACTTGTACAGCCTGCAACACGGTCTGTTGCGCTCTAAGCATCTTGTGTGCATTTTATCGATAGGTTCTACAACATATATGCCATGGCGAAGCGGCAATGAAAGTGCAAAGGAGACTACGCCTACATCGACCTTATGCGCGAGAGTAATAAAATCTTACAGAGCCTTCAACAACAAAGAGCTAACAGTGAGGGAGGGAGATATTGTTCGCAATGTAGCAGAGGTTGGCCTGAAAGATTGGCTGAAGGTAATGTTTATCTGTTCCGTAGTTGCAAGTCATAATGCGTTCGATTGCCGCATAGATAATTCAACACATCTTTCAGCTCGTTTATCGATATACACAAACGTTTGATTTATGGCTGATCACCACTCGTCCTCTTATCTTGAGAATAGGGCAGCGTTGGCGGGATGGTAGGGTATTTCCCGGCCTCTCACGTAGTGATGATGATTGCAGATAGCGTGAAGCAGGGGTTTGGGAACAGTGGGAGTCACTCCAGCACACCGAATTTGTCCCCCAGCGATCAACGAAGAGGATCGCAGACTTCAGTCACTTCCAGCAGTTCGAATTACAATACTAGGCTGCCAGCATCGTCCATGCCGAGGAACATAGTAAGCCCTGTCTTCAGCCTACTTATTCGCGATATCTCCTAGTTAAGTCAATACTGGTGGAGTGGAAGACTTGGATTATAATCTAATCATGCTGCTTTAACTTCTTCCAGATGGGCGGACGTAGTATTTCAGTACCTGGCGCGAGGACTCTACCTGTAGCCCCTTCCGACAGTCCATTGCCATACCATCTCGCACAAGCTGCCGCTACAACACAGCAGAACACACCTGGATTTGATGATAGAAATGATGTGTCATACTCTGATATGCATGCAATAGAGCAGGCCGGGCGAAATTCTATGTCCTCTGTGGATGATTACGGTATGATTTCGCGGCCAATACCACACTTGTTCTTCATTCGCTCAAATACTACCTAGTCTGTGAGCGTTTAGGCATTGTATTGGATTGGTGTGTGGTCACAGTATTCAAACGTTCGTTCATTATCTGAAATTCACAGAATCTGACGAAGAGATTTACGAGGACGCGGACAAATTCCAAGAGTGCATTTACGAGAGCTTCTCATAGACCGACATCAATCAACAACGTTGGCGGGACGGGGATCGTGCTAACACACCTCGCTAGTCAATACGAACCTCTACAACTCCACAAGCCCCTTTTTGAAGCGTTGAAAGTTTGCAACATAATGTTTCGCGCCCTCCTACCGCAGTATGGATCATTAATGTGATGAGTGTAAGTAAATTGACATTGTGATCCGAGGCAAATTCAAAACAATCGGAAGCGACCGTAAAAGGCGTAAATAAACTGGAAAATTGTGTACGAGATACCTTGAGCCCGGCCGCTTGTTCAGGAGTCATGGTCTTCACAACACGTCCTGGAGCACCCATGACAACGGAGTAATCTGGTATGGTTTTTCTCTCTCCGATGAAAGTATTAGCACCGATTAGACAGCCTTTACCTATATAGTCGAGCGAATTAACAACACATGTGAACATCTACAGTCACCATATCTGCCGATATCGAAACGGATGAATATATTTTTTCTTCACTGAAGGGCAATCGTTTTGAGGTAATACCTATGGTAGTATCGTTTAGGATGATGGACCCGATGCCGATCAAGCTTCCCTCGCCTATTTTGCAGCCGTGCAGCATGACTTGGTGCTAAGTTAGTGATGGTGGAACATTATTAGTTGCACGACGACCCTCTCGAGTCACGACGTAACCCAAAACACATGTGAGAATCCGACTAAAATAGGGGTCAGATTGTGAATTTCCGTCAAATACACTTACCCCAACTGTAACGTCATCTCCAATGACAAGTTCTATGCCTTCGTCTATATCGAACAAGAAGAAAATAGGAGGTTGGAATATAATATTTCAGGTAGTTAGAAAACGATGACATTACATTTTCCCAAACACACAGTTTTTAATATCGAGAGCAACGAGTCCATTATTACCCGTATGTAAGACAGAATTATCTTGAACGTTGACATTCTCTCCTAGCTCGATTCTATCGGTATCGCCTCGAATCACAGCACCCCACCAAACGCTAGCGTTGCGCTTCATATGAACGTTACCAATCACCTGCGCATTAGGAGCAATCCAATATTCGTCATTTTCTGGCAAAACTGGCTTGACACCATCTGTCATAGTAGAGAAATGTAGAAGTGTCCCACTTAATTGTAATCACTGTGCAAGAATACAGAATCAAAGCTGCAATAAGTACAGCACTTGTAGCTCTCGATGACCACACTTGCCGCAAAACAATTCTGTAAATTACCCAAGATATACAATCCTATACTTTACCTAAGCTATACGTGGCGTACGAACGTCTCAAGATCCGTGACGAGCCCGAAGTCTTCAGTGCGGATAAAAGTAACTTCGACATGTCGTGGATTATACTAAATTTTAATTATCACGTTGTGAGTATATTATGTAGTTGCATAAATACCAGAGGGTTGGAGTTTGGATTGGCTTTTTGTGCATATACCATATATTGTGTGCACAAATCAATTTGTCACTACAATATTGGGCGGGACATGGGAGTTATTATAGAGAAATTTAACGAATTGATAGCGTTAAACGTGTGAGCAATTTTAAGAAACCTCTTGGTATGTATTTCATATTAAATTAAATAATACACCCCTGCTGTATAAAAAAAGGGGGGTCTGGGCAAGGCCTGTGATCCCCGTGCGTCTACCGTGACACGGGGGTGTCAGTCCGAGTTGGACTAGATACCGGTGCGGAAACCCGGCCAGAAGCCTGTTCTTTATTGTATTTATGTATATTATAATGAATAGCAAAAAAATGCAAAAACTTATACTAAAGTAAACTTTTTTCCAGATGACAGAAATAGTATTCCCCACAGTTATTCATTCAAGACGGTGTAAGCGTGCAGTCACGTACTCAGTAGCGGGCGAATAGAGGTCTTTAGTAGTCACATTTACATATCTAGAGCTTTGATAGTCACATTTACATATCTAGAGCTTTGATAGTCACATTTACATATCTAGAGCTTTGATAGTCACATTTACATATCTAGAGCTTTGATAGTCACATTTACATATCTAGAGCTTTGATAGTCACATTTACATATCTAGAGCTTTGATAGTCACATATAGCGAATCAGTATCTGGTGAAGTGTGTGGTCGCTCTTAATAATGTCATTTTGTACTTTGCTACAAAGTATGGAGAGGTAGCCGTAGTGCGTCCGTCTATCAACATCTTCCATGATGTCGGCTGGCGTTGTTGGGAAAGGCGAAGAGGCCCAAAACGTCAGCGGCACAACGTCTGTATCAGCAGAACGGGCGAAGAACATACTAAACGAGGGAGAGAAGCAGGATGCATTCATTTCTTTCGACTTGGGAGAGGATAGTAAAGGCTCTGCTTTAGATCTCGCAATCATGACGAAGATAAAACAAGAGCCTATCGTGGTACAAACACAGATCGATTTGTTACACACAAGCGCATGCAATGGCTCAGGTGAAGCTGTCACGTTAGCAAGCGAGGGTTCAGGTGACATGATGATAGATAGGGAGGTCGAAGCTCGTACAACCGCCGGCGAACAGCAGCCACAAATTAATATACCTGTTGCACTGAAGAGTGAACAACTCGAGTCGAGCTCTGCATGTTTGCAGGATAGTGCCATACCTGTAGCAGAGAAGGCAGATAAAGCTATCGATGAGGTTGGAGAATTCGCACATTCTAAAAGTGGAGCTGGAAGTTACAGTGCTAGTATAAACACTGACAGTGCGAGTGGTCAGTCGAACCTTGGAGGTGTGATTGCTGGGAGTAGGAGGGCTAGTGGTGGTATAGTGGCTCATAGATCCATTGCGACCAGTATATCTATACAAAATACAGTAGCGTCAGCATCGGCGGAAAAGTTACGGCACCGGACACCATCACAGATGAAGCTCAGCGACAGTAAGCACATTACAGCAATCGCTAGAAATGATTCCAGCAGCATCACTGGTCAGACGGGTTCACATATTGTACGTCGTGTGTCCATGATGTCACAAAATTCCAGCGCGGGCTCACTATCAAAGTACAATCAGGATGGAGGTGCGGAATCTGTGACTACCAGAAGCAAAATACAAGTGGGCGAAAATCATCAAGCTGACATACCAAAGCTGGGAGAAAGAGGTATGTGATTGCAGTAGGGTCATATATTGCTAATATATATATACATACATACATACACACACATATATATACGTACATACATACATACATACATACATACACACACACACAACACACACACACATATATATATATAATATGTATATATATATATATACATATACATATACATATACATATACATGACA